CATGAACGCGCAGCGTTATATCCACGAAGTTCTAGAACCCCATCTTTTACCCTATCTTGACACCCTGGCAGATCCAACTTTCCAACAAGATAATGCCCGACTACATGTTGCAAGAGTCACAATAGACTTTTTTCAACATAATGATGTCACATTGTTACCATGGCCACCAAAATCTCCCGACTTATCCCCAATTGAGCACGTGTGGGATATGATGGGTAGGAGATTGCTCAATTTGCAACGTCCTCCTCAGACTCTAGAAGCACTTCGAGAGGAGTTGGTGGTTGCCTGGAATGAGATACCACAGGAGGACATTGACCACCTGATCAGAAGCATGCCTAGGCGCGTTGGAGAATGCGTAGCACATCAGGGTGCATCCACACATTATTAAAGGTCAAAGGGCTTTAGAGCAGTGCAATCATTTTGAAATTTTTATCATTTATTTATTATGCTTCATTAAGTACTTATACAAAATTTTATTAAAATAAAACCATTTAAACTGGGTGTTCGGATTTATATGTCACTTAGTATATTATTTTATTCATGGAATGTTCCAAGAAACAAACATACTAACCAAGGGCGAGTCTAGAAAATATTTTTTGGGGGTCTCAAAGGCGGATTTAGGAAATTGTCGGTCCAGAGAAACAGAACAGAACAATGGATCGATCTGCCGTCGTGCAGGTTTATTAGGGACACATTGAAGTACACAAAAAAAACCTAAGAATATTAATCTTCTCATTAGCAGTCCCAGAAATGCGGTCTATTTTCCAAAACAACACAAAAAGCAACTTTTTTGACTCATAAAATTAACACTAAGAAAACAAAAAAAGCCATCAACGATTGCAATCGAATCTTATGAAAGGTGTATTCCAGTTTTCAAAGTCAGATATCTCTCAACCAAATTATCGTATCGAGATTTGAAAAATAGGATTTTGAAGCTGAATAAGCGGGCTATCTAACCCATATAATTGTCAAACAGAAAACAAATTCTTCAACCCCTTGGACTAAAAAGAAGAAGAACAAGATTTTAAAAAAATGTTTCATGTGCTATCTGTTAACCTCAACAAATGTTCCGGCTAAAAAATCTGAAAACTGAAATCTTAAAGCTCAAAAATGCTTTTTCAAAACTCTGGATACGATCATGATTCACTTAAATACACCTTGTCAAGGATCACCAAAAGTTTTTTGGCTCACTTAATATTTTTTTTTGAGTTGTGTAGTTTTCCGTGATGTACGAGTTTTTCTTCAATTGTTGTGGAAATCAGAAACGAGGCTTGCTTGGAGTATGGACATCTGGTATTTTTTTAACTAAGTTAGCTTGGACGCCTGTTCCGTCAGATACTTTGGGATTATCTTTGGATATACGGATATGGTAGACGCAGAAGGAAACACCGAAAACTAACACCACATTTTTTTCAGAAAATAATCGTCAGAACATCCATTACATCCGCTTGTGATTTACGTTGGAATTCTTGAACGCGATGATGGAAATTTTCTGTCAGATGCCTCAGGGATACCTTTGACAAGGGTTATATGATGGAAGCATGCAAAATCACTGAAAACTAAATTGCGAATTACATTTCTATAATTTACCTTCATCACATAGATCCGGAAATTGGGTTTGATAGGAAAGGTTTGGCTTTGGAAAATGATTAGCAGACCCACCATCATATGTATACAACTCTTGAAATCCATGTTAGAAAAACTTCGTCAGAGGAGAGAACTGACCGATGCCTCTCATCTGCCGCACAGTTCAGTGGTCTAGATGTTTGATAGGAGATCACTCTAATATTATAGTGGTTACCCAATAAGGATTATTTAAAAATACACAGAACCATTATATATATTTCAAACATAACAAGCTATTACATATACTAAGTGACATACAAATCCGAACATCCAGTTTAAATGGTTTTATTTTAATAAAAGTTGGTGAATGTATTTATCTTACTGTAAATAACAAGTGAAAAAAATTTCAGCCTTATCAGTTGGACATTCCGGTTTTTATAATGCTTTTTTTTAATTCACTAACGCTCTAAAAATGAATATTTCAGCCGCAGTAAAGAATCAACGTTGGCGGATTTTGGTTCTTGACATCCTTTACGATCGGTTACGATGCCTAGAGTACGGAGACCTGTACGATTTCGTCAACTTAGTGAGTTTGATAGGGGCCGTATAGTGGGACTTCGGGAAGCTGGACTTTCTTTTCGGGCAATTGCAGTTATAGTGCAAAGAAGTGTAGACACTGTGGTTAGGTGTTGTCGGGCATGGCTTCGAGAAGGCCGTACGCAAAGAGCAAGGGGCACTGGACGCTGCCGTAGAACAACAGACCGTGAAGATCGCCGCCTAAGATTATTGGCCTTAAGGGACCATTTCTCCACTACCAGGTCCATTGCAAATGAATGGTTTGCAGAACACGGAAGACCTATTGGCATGCGAAGTGTTTACCGATGAATGAGAAGTTTTGGCTTGTTTTCATACCGGCCTTTAACTCGAGAACACCGACGTAATCGCCTTGAGTGGTGCAGACAACGGTCACTCTGGGATCAGGAATGGAACAGTATTGTCTTTAGTGACGAGTCTCGATTAAAGTTTAGGCATGCACGATGGTCGTGCCAGGGTTAGAAGGCGACGTGGTGAAAGGAGGAATCCACAGTTTTTTGTTGAAAGACATGTTCATCACACTGTTGGAGTTATGGTTTGGGGTGCTATAGCTTGTGGTTCCAGGTCACCTTTAATCTTCATCAGAGGTAACATGAACGCGCAGCATTATATCCACCAAGTACTAGAACCCCATCTTTTACCCTATCTTGACACCCTGGCAGATCCAACTTTCCAACAAGATAATGCCCGACCTAATGTTGCAAGAGTCACAATTGACTTCTTTCAACATAATGATGTCACATTGTTATCATGGCCACCAAGATCTCCCGACTTATCGCCAATTGAGCACGTGTGGGATATGATGGGTAGGAGATTGCTCAATTTGCAATGTCCTCCTCAGACTCTAGAAGCACTTCGAGAGGAGTTGGTGGTTGCCTGGAATGAGATACCACAGGAGGACATTGACCACCTGATCAGAAGCATGCCTAGGCGCGTTGGAGAATGCGTAGCACATCAGGGTGCATCCACACATTACTAAAGGTCAAAGGGCTTTAAAGCAGTGCAATCATTTTGAAATTTTTATCGTTTATTTATTATGCTTCATTAAGTACTTATACAAAATTTTATTAAAATAAAACCATTTAAACTGGGTGTTCGGATTTATATGTCACTTAGTATACAATACGACCATAGCACTACTTGAAAACTTTATAAAAATTGACGTCTGAAGAAATGTAGGAGGCAATACATTATCAACGGGTACAAGACTTACAACCTGAAGATCACAGTAGAGAACACGCAGAAGAACTCATTTTCAACATTGATTTTCATTAAATGTTTGAGCTCGCGCGGAAGATGGCACGCTTATTGAACCTACTTTTTTCCACTCCGACTGGTGAAATTTATTTGCCGCTCCGCTCCCCGGACTTAACGCCTTGCGATTTTTTCTGTGGAACTATTTGAAAGAGTTGGTGAATCATGATGTAGCAGTAAATACTCTGGAAGCACTTCAACAGCGCACTGAAAATGCTTGTGATTTAACTTCCTTTTCGGTCGGCTGGAGATAGAAGTTTTAATCTCTCGAGCTATTCGTTCTATAAAATCTGCTATATCCTAGTTTGAAATCTATAGATCTCATCCACTTTTCCTTTTTACGGCCATCACCAAGATTGCTTTAACGGCATCTTATTACCATGTAAATTGTTTCCACTAGCAATGATTCAATGTACATCGGGTATTCGATCTGCTCGAGGATATTCATTTACAGTTTCAAGTAGCAGTTGCTAAGGAATTACATATTCTTGCATGTGTAAGGAGGAAATATTGCGACCCAATTTCAATAATTACTATTTTTGAGGATGATCAATGCTTCTGATATACTTTGAACATGAACGAAATTGATATTGGAGGTTGAAATCAAGATGTACTAGATACGGATAGTCTGAAGAATTGGATATTAATTGTCAGGTAAATTGAGGCACTGAATGCGAACAACTGGCATCAAGTAGGTTGCCTCCTACGCAACACCACTGGAGCAAAACCTGATAGCACAGCGTTGCTGGAAATTGATGTCATTCATTTTTAGAACACAATAGGGAAACTGTTTCACAGAAAAAATGGCTAGTGGCAACTAAAATACTCGACCGAGTTCGAACTTGTACTGAAGGCGGATCACACGTCTGCCTGTCTCCTTCCAGTGTTGCCAGAACGAACGTTACATGGCCAGTCTCATCACATAATTTAGGGACCTTAGATCCTCTGAGGAAAACGTTAGTCACGAACATGAATAAGAAAGAAATTAAACACATCAGATTAAACGAAACATAGTTGTCCTTCCAATAGTAGTCCACCAACGACAACAGAGTGGTCAGAAAAGAGAATAAAACTTATATTTTAGAAAACCCACAAAGTTAAATTGTTTGAATGGAAATCACCTTTTTTATAAGTTCATCATATTGCATAAGTATTGAAAACAAGGTTAATTTTCTATAAAGTTGCTTACTTGTCAAATTAATAGTTTTCGAGGTGTTATATGAAAATATTGGTTTATCTTCTTTTCAAGTATTAAATGCTCTATAAGATAATCTCAGTTAGCCATGCCGGAAATCGATCAAACTGCTAAGAACATCACTGTTGCCGCGTCATGGCCAGCCGAGATTATCTTATGCTAAAACTACTAATTTACGAAATAGACACAATTAACCTTATTTTTGAAAACCTTTGTAACGCAGTGCAGTACGTAACAACTGCTGATCAGGTTTTTACCGTCAAAACGTGATGAATTATCATGAAAAATATATTTTGAATAACCCTTGTGTGATTATATTAAGGTGAAGATCGTTTCGTAAAACATACTTCGTGATGCGTAAGTGTTATCATACTTTTCTCTTTTGTTTCAGTATCAGAGCGATCCAGAGATGAGCGACTGGATGGCAGTTCGTAGATGAGGAGTACCAAATTCACCACAACTATTGCAATCACCTGCTACACAAATAAGAACTCCCTCTATTCTCCGTTTTCGTTTCTCTTAAGCCCTCTTCCGACAATAAGTTTACCTCATCTTTCCAGCCATTCCTCTCCTTAACCAATGTTCACACTAGTGACGAGCCTCACTTGGCCTTTTAACGTGTAACAGCGCATGCGCTATTGAAGTCTGTCAAATTTGCATGACAAGAGGCATGGACAGACGCACAGAACGTCATATTGAAGATGAAAGATAGAGAGAAAGTGCACTAGTGTAAACGTAACGTCGTACGAAGCTTTATGTCAAACTTTGGAATCGATCTAAATCCAAGAACAATGATTATTAGCATTTCGTATTTCTATCTAAAAGGAATTCGAAAGATCTTAGCGCCATCTATGAGACTGCAGCAAGACTAATTTCTCAAAATTTTCAAACTGGATTTCTAAATGAATTTTTATGTTTAAGCCTTAATAAGGTTTTCCACGTTTGACAAAAGCTCATATACTTTCAAATTCTTCCAACTTCTTTGCTCTATTCTTCTATACTCTTCGGTGTTCTTGTCACGAAATGCGTCTCTGTTATTGTTGCGATTATTTAGTCCTTAATAAAGCATTATTCTACCTTGATATTTAGTTTTTTGGATCAGATTCATAAAGTTGAAGGTAAGTTGAATATATCACAATTAATAAGCAACTTTGTCAAAGGTACCCGCAAGAATTTTTCTCGGGGGCCGATCATCGGCGAAGAGTACCTAATGTTTTGTGGAAGCAAATTTTCTCAGGGGACCTCAAGTCAAACTTATTATTATGAAAAAAGTTGGAAACAAGCTGGGTGATGCCAGACACGGAAATTTGAGGTGGATACTAACTTACTTATTTAAAATCAAATATTCAACTGTTGGATTCTATGCGTTAATCGAAATGCACTTCATGTGTATATTATCCTATACTTCAGCCTAACCGTTTTTCTTTGCCATATGATTTGCATCGGGTTTCTTATATTAAGGTATCCACAACAAAGTTTTAAGATATTATTTTCCAAAAATCAATAAATGAACTAGCACGAGCCTGCCACCCTCCCCTCCCACAATCTCCTCCTACGTCAAAACGTATGAGGTAGAACTAAGACTATTTGAGTCAGTACCCTTAAGAAGGCGTCACGTGGTGTCAAGGTCAACCTAGTTTAAAAACAAACCGCATTTGAAAAACAGAAATTTGCGCATTCCTAGAGCAATACCGTAGTGTTCGATTTGATATGAGCATCTTCACAATTCTATTGGTACTCCGCGAGTGTACTTAGAACGTCGCCGTCGTCGTCGATGTTTCCATCCGTCAGAGCTGCATATGTTTGTATATATCGTGCAGAAGCCGAAGACCTAGACAGCCTCAAGTGTTGCACAATTAGGAAGAGGTAAAAAAAGTCGCGTTTTTGAATGAGTATTTTGCTTCAATTCATTTTTTACGTTTTCGGTGTTGTTCAGCCTTGGTATTGTAAAAGGAAGGTTCCAGGGCACCCTGTATAAAGTGTAGCTTTGATGGTGAACCTCCTCATAGTTCGTACATGCAATATGAAAGGTAGGGACGTGGCATAAATATAGGTGCGCGATGTAAGGTACCTACATCTTTTCACTTTTGCCGGAGTGTATATAAGAAAGTAATAATCAAATAGCAAAAACCACCCACTCTGATGTAGATGAAATTGAAGTGAAATTAACAATAATTACCCGGTCATAACGTGTGCTTTTTCCTCGAGATGAATTAATCGTCTGGATGGATGGTACAAAATTATAGGCTGCAGCAGAAGAAGACTTCTTTTTTGCCATGATGTATATGCACTTCGAAGTGATTTGAAATTCTATTTGCGGTGTGGGTATCTGAAGGAATCTTTCGATATTCCGGTTATTAAAAAGATGCATAAGATTTTTCGACCAGGAACTGGGAAACATAATCTTGGAGAAACTTGGGTAAAAAAAAATGTTTCCCAAATTTGAGACAAACATTTAAGTAATTCTCTTATCACTTGTTGTTCATGACAAGATAAATCGATATGTAAAAAATTCTTGAATTCTAACAAACATACATAGGCGTTTACCTTTTTTGTTAGTCAGTATAGTTAACACTTTTATGAATCTCTGTATCCAAGAACTGGGAGCCATCCTTGACCCTACCAAAAAAGCACCCCATTAACACATTTTTGCACTACAAATCTTAAGATCCGAAAAAATTATTGAGTTAACATCTTGTTGCACCAAAATCTTCAATTAATAATTTGTTGTTTTCTGTACCTCGGGATATTTTAAAGCTTTTTTATTTAAATAAATATTGTTTTTTATGATTAAAAAATTGCCTGTTTCTTTATAAATCTATCATGATTTATCATTATTACCCGACTGCCTCAGATAGATCATGTTTTGCGTGCGGGGTATGTACTCGTACGTATGTACACAAAAAGTTATTCATTTTTACATATGAGGTGTTGCTAGACTATATGAAAAAATCATAAAAACAAAATAGCGGATCTCTATGGAAAAAACAAACTTGCAGTCGCTATTTCACGGGCCACAGCTTAAACGACATACGAAGCGTCTATACCGAATGCTTCAAATTCGGCCCCTTCCATTGGAATCTTGGAAACGGTAAGAGATACGACGCTTGAATGGGCTCAAAGTTCCGTATTTAGGTAAATAACAAAATTCAAAATCGTATATTGTCACTTTTTCTCCTTTACAGGATGGCATAATTAGAATTCCAACGCCATTATCAGTTCTTTTTAGAAAAACTGAATTTCCTAGGTGGGCCTTGGAATTATCATTTGTTCCGTGTAACAGATTTATAATAATAATAATAAATGACTGTATTGAATAAAACAAATAATCTTTTTACAAAGGTAATTTAGAAAAAAATACAGAATACATTGCCTAATATTGGCGCAAGTCTAGCTTAAAAGCTGCTCTACTGAACCAAAATAAGACAAAAAAAATAATAATAGTAATAAGCCTTAAACAACAATACAGAATAATCATAATAATAACCACGTGTTAACACTAAATGGACTGCAAGTATATTAAAATTTCAAAAAGATATTAATTAATACTGGTCACTATAAAATTTGGTTACTGGTTACTATAAAATTTGCTTGACATATTTTTTCTACTTATATACCTATGTTATAAACTTCAATCTCTATTCTAAAAAAGTTTGTTCAGATTTCTATTTAGCAAATATTTCTTATATTGTATTTTGAATCTTGAAAGAGAAAGATTAAGGATGTGGTTGGGAATTGAATTAAATTGTTTAACAGCATCGTATGAGAATGATCGTTGAAACAACGCACCACTATGAAGCGGCATAGTTAATTTATTTAAATATCTTACATTTATATACTAAGTGACATATACATCCGAACACCCAGTTTAAATGGTTTTATTTTAATAAAATTTTGTATAAGTACTTAATGAAGCATAATAAGTAAACGTTAAAAATTTCAAAATGATTGCACTGCTTTAAAGCCCTTTGACCTTTAATAATGTGTGGATGCACCCTGATGTGCTACGCATTCTCCAACGCGCCTAGGCATGCTTCTGATCAGGTGGTCAATGTCCTCCTGTGGTATCTCATTCCAGGCAACCACCAACTCCTCTCGAAGTGCTTCTAGAGTCTGAGGAGGACGTTGCAAATTGAGCAATCTCCTACCCATCATATCCCACACGTGCTCAATTGGGGATAAGTCGGGAGATCTTGGTGGCCATGGTAACAATGTGACATTATTATGTTGAAAGAAGTCTATTGTGACTCTTGCAACATGGGGTCGGGCATTATCTTGTTGGAAAGTTGGATCTGCCAGGGTGTCAAGATAGGGTAAAAGATGGGGTACTAGAACTTCGTGGATATAACGCTGCGCGTTCATGTTACCTCGGATGAAGATTAAAGGTGACCTGGAACCATAAGCTATAGCACCCCAAACCATAACTCCAACAGTGTGATGAACATGTCTTTCAACAAAAAACTGTGGATTCCTCCTTTCACCCCGTCGCCTTCTAACCCTGGCACGACCATCGTGCATGCCTAAACAAAATCGAGACTCGTCACTAAAGACAATACTGTTCCATTCCTGATCCCAGAGTGACCGTTGTCTGCACCACTCAAGACGATTACGTCGGTGTTCTCGAGTTAAAGGGACCCAGTGTGGCCGGTATGAAAACAAGCCAAAACTTCTCATTCGTCGGTAAACACTTCGCATGCCAATAGGTCTTCCGTGTTCTGCAAACCATTCATTTGCAATGGACCTGGTAGTGGAGAAACGGTCCCTTAAGGCCAATAATCTTAGGCGGCGATCTTCACGGTCTGTTGTTCTACGGCGGCGTCCAGTGCCCCTTGCTCTTTGCGTACGACCTTCTCGAAGCCATGCCTGACAACACCTAACCACAGTGTCTACACTTCTTTACACTCTAACTGCAATTGCCCGAAAAGAAAGTCCAGCTTCCCGAAGTCCCACTATACGGCCCCTATCAAACTCACTAAGTTGACGAAATCGTACAGGTCTCCGTACTCTAGGCATCGTAACCGATCGTAAAGGATGTCAAGAACCAAAATCCGCCAACGTTGATTCGTTACTGCGGCTGAAATATTCATTTTTAGAGCGTTAGTGAATTAAAAAAAGAAGTATAAAAACCGGAATGTCCACCTGATAAGGCTGAAAACTTTTTCACTTGTTATTTACAGTAAGATAAATACCTTCACCAACTTTTATTAAAATAAAATCATTTGAACTGGGTGTTCGGATTTATATGTCACTTAGTATATCATGAACAAAATGTCGGAAAATTAAGCGTTCTCTCATAGAATCAGGTGAACCTGGAGTGTTTATAATTTTTAATAAAAAAACTAGAAAAATGGAGAGTGCGACGCTCATTCATTTTAAGCCATTCAATTTCTTTATACAAATGAGATATATGATCAAACCTACGCATACCATAGATAAACCTGAGGCACGCATTTTGCACCTTCTGAATCCGACCCCTACTTGCCTGATCTAAGCAAAACCCATAAACAAAATCGCAATAATTGAAATTGGAAAGAATTAGGAATTCACACATTTTTTTTAGTGATCTGTTTAGTATGTGTCTGTTATTATACGAAACTTTTAGAGAACAAAATAATTTTTGCATAAGATTTTTCTAAATCTAAATCTAAGCTGAGAATCTAAAACTATACCGAGATTTTTTGTACTTTCAACAAAATTCAATTTTGATTTATTAGCCATTATATTGAGATTTTCAAAAACTCAGTCTTAGATTTGTTACCAAAAATCATTACATGCGATTTTTCCGGATTAAGTTTTAAGTTGTGACCTAATTAGAGATTGTTCAAGGTGTTAATGTCCTTATTCATACAATTTTCGTAATATTTGTAATCCCTCAGTATCAAAAAAACAATGAACCTGGGTATCATCCGCGAAGGCCTGAACTTTACAAAACTTTGAAGACGTAAGGATATCACATGTATATATTAAAAATAACAAGGCGCCCAATATTGATCCCTGCGGAACTCCCGATAGGATCTGCGCTTTGTCTGAGAATGTGTCATTTGACAGAATCGAGTATCGCAAAATCATTTGCTACTTTCCCTG